CCCCAATGAATATGTGAGTTTTGGAACTGGAATGTCAAGATTATTAATTGTACAACTGTTTGTTGAAATGTATTAAAAGGTAAATTCAAGATTATAGCGAAGCCAAGATAAGAAAAGTATGAAAGCTGAAAAGATTACGCCACTTTTAATATGTATATACATATATATCTTTGTATGGCAATCAAAAAAAAGGGCAAAAAAAATAAATACCAAGACTAAAATGAATATCAGCATAAAATACACACTTTCGAAATAGAAGACAAAACCAGATATCGGTTGACACAAAGGATGACTGCATTTAACGTAGTCCTTTCAATTGTCGCTAGGGTTTGCTGTTTTGAACGATAAGTCGTTGCTGAAACTTTTTTAACTGTTTATACGCAAGACAGTTTTTAGCATTTCCCAAGTCGTTTCTTTGCTTTCAATAGAATCCAGTGGTTTTAAAATTTAGTACTAATGTTAAAACTTTTACTGTATAAATGCGGACACCGTTTAAGTAGATATAAGTAAAATTTTTAATTAAGATAAAAAGTGAAATCTACCCTCCTTCTTAGTTCTAACCTGATTAAATGATTATACTCGGTCGTTCTTCTTCGTGCTAGGTAACACAAATAAGATAAATAATTGTTGCATTTACTTGTAAAAATATATATATTTATATAGGAAGCGCAAAGGTGCGCACAAAAAACATGACATTATATTTTCTTCTTCATAACAATCGTCAAAGAGAGTTAAAAATATTGAATATAGTCTGTTCCCCATTCATTTGACCCTGTTATTTCAGGTAGAGTGAAGGCATTCTCTTTCTTTTGGTCAACGCTTTTGTGTACAAAACAATGTAAGGAACCCTTTTGTGTACATAACAATACCAATGCTGAAGTATGCTATATGTCATTCCTATAAACGATAACTCATAAATCCTCACTTAGTTGGTCATTTTTCACACCTGAGTTACCTGTCCTTAAAACACAACACACATTTCAATTATAAATAATAAAAAATTTCAATTGAACGTTTAACGTGTACGTCAAATTTAACGTCAAAATAAACCTATAAATCTATCAATAAAATATTTTTTACTATATATCAATCATGAAAGAAAATTGGGATTTATGTGGGCTTGGCTGTGATTGTGCTTTTAAATCTTGACGTCAATCACTTTTATATAGTATTTTTTTAATTAACCCGATTTAAATGTTAAAAAGATTTTAGACTAAAATACCATCCCTTAATGTTTATTTCAGTTTTCATTTCATATACAATTGATTGTATTTTTTATCAAAGAGCAGAATTTTCGTTTGATTCTGAAAATTTTATGGATGAATTACAGACATTCTCAGTATTTAACAATTGGCTATATAACATCTTCCTATATAATGTACCTTACATGTACATTATTTACAACTACGATATAAATACATGTATTGCCCATCCATGTAAGTAATTAAATGTAAAACATGACTAACTAAATGTTCAAACACACTTTTTAGCATGCTACTGTAAAATGATGGAATTTTGTTCTCACAAAATTACTGAAGAAAGATGTGGTGAATAACATACTCAAAGTGACAAATGGTTACAACAGAGAGAGAGTGTAAGAAGAAGCATTTTCCTCCCTTTATTCACGGTTTTGTCTGTTAATCTCCTTTACAACACAACATTACTAATGCAAATATGAAATACTGTTAAATGAAGAACACATACACAATGTAACTGTGTATAAAGTTGAAAAGAATTGTCCTCATTTGTACGGAGATTGAAATTATGACCCCCGCATTTATGAATATCCTATTGCAGCAAATACATACTTTTATTTATTGTAACAATAAAGTTGTAGATTAGATGATTATCATTCTTGCAATTCAAAACAAAAGTGTCTGTTTTAAAAAATTTTATCAATGTGCAGATTTGATATAAATTGAAATAGATGAAGAGTTTAATGTTTGATATTTTGGAGTTAATGTAAATACATGAATTTTCATTTTAGCTTTAGAAGCAACGACATTGAAAGAAATGCGTACAATATCATGATGTATGTACATCTAATGCAAATGGATGTATCCCCACGGCCACATCTGTCTCGTTTGAAAATAAATGACAAAAAGAAACTACAATTATTCCATTTATATCACAGGAGAGTTGAACAAACACCATTTTTTAATGAATTAAAATTAAAGAAATATAAATTAAAAATCATAACATATTCTTTTTTGTGTCAACAAAATTGGATTAAAATTGTGTATTCAGGTTTCATGTGGTATGGAATGCATGGCATATGTATATGGACTAAACATAAAATCTTTCAGTAATTTTTTCCTGATACATATAAAAAGAGTAGTCAATATTTATTCTGCATTCATGAATTTCAAAACTAAGGACTTACCTCCGGGATGCTTAATGGCTGTAAATACCAGTATATTTGCACTGTAAATGAGTTTCGCAAACTTGAATGGTCTGCGACGAAATTGGAAGGGGTGACGACACTGGAATCTGACTGAAATACAATGGAATCTTACTGACTTCAAAAATTGCGAAATCCAACAAAAATCTACATTTAGGTGCTTTTACATATGAGAACTTTTAAATTTTAAGAAAATATATATATTTGTTCAAGCAAAAGCAATATTCCAATTTAATTTTTTTAATGTGTATTCTGTAATTTCATATAAAAATGATGCTGTTATTGCTTATAACCTTGTTTTTGAAAATAAAATTATACGCCGGGAACGTATTTATTGAAAAGGGGGAGGGGTAATGAAAAAATGAATATTAAATGAAAAAAAAATCACTTTAAAAATTATACAAAAAATCATGAAGATTATTTTTACTACCAGCATACCTATGATATATATCATAGATTTTACCAAAATTAAACATAGGTTTTTTCACAGAAAAAAAAATTTTAATAATTATAAAATACGCAATATATATCAATGTATGTATAAAATTTCATCAAATTTATATTTTTTTCAGTGGCATTTTTAAGTCTTTAAAAATTGTTTTGATGATATGTATTCAAAAAGATGACTATGTTTTTGTGTTAAATGGTATGCAAGGAATAAGCCATATGATTTTTGACATATTAATCTAATGGTTTTTTTGAATATATCAAGGTTTAAGTAGTTCATTGATTAAAAATTTTCTCTCCTTGTAAACAAGTTAATCAGCTGGGTATAATCACATGATTTCCAAAAACCACGTCTTCAGTTTGCTTGTTTTGTCCAAAATATGCATACATGCATACATATTTTTAATGTACTAAATATACGAAAACCGAAAATGGAAAATTAAACGGCAGAATAGTGTACAGGAATTTTGTTGGGGTAAGGTGTGTTATACATCTTAAAAAACATTTTATATCGTACATTTCAATTATAAATCAAAAAAAAAAATTTGCAATGATTTAATTAAATGTATGCAAAGGATACCGCACGAGAGTGGATTCTTGATCAAAATTAATATGCTATGTTTTATAAAATGAAACCCGTGATTTTTCACATTGTTCAATTGTCAAAAAAATGTCATTACTCAAAGCAATGCTATTTCGCTGTGTACTTTCGAGATTTGCGATAAAAATTCTCCACAGGGTAAACAACAAACAAACAAACAGTGTCTTATTAACAGCGTTTTAGACCGATATGTCATAAAAGCGTGTTTAGTTTTAAAATATTCTGAAAATTATCATATTAACTACTTGTGTATATTTGTGTATATTTCTTAATATTTCTTGGTGTTTGATTGATACTTATCCTTACTGTCAAGATCTTAAATTTATCCCTGAAGAGCCATGGCCAAACATTTGAGGTTAATATTTTCTAAAATGTTTCTGCAAAGTACCATGTCTTACAAGTTTCAAGAGCACCTGTGTTTTCCGTGTGTGTACAGTGATCCGTGAACGGTAAGTAAATCGAACACACTCGATACAACGTAATCATTAAACCCCCCGCTTGAAAAATGGAAGGGTATATAGTAATCGGTATGTCCGTCCGTCTGTACGTCCGTCTGTCTGTTACGCTTTGGAGTACCCATCTCATCCGCAACTTCTCTTATACCACTGAATTAAATTAATGAAACTTTCACAGAATCTTTATTACATATTGCCATTGTGCACCTCCTATTTTTCTTTTCGATCCGACACATATTTTCTGTTTCCCGGCCACAGCAAAGCATGGACTTTGGCATTATAACCATATTGGAGGCGGGGGGTATCATTTAGCTCATTGCTCACAATACCTCTAGTTTAATATACAATAACAGAGCTAATAGATAGTTCAACGAATAAAGCATGAAACTAAAGTTATATTTTTATTTTAAAAAATTGTATTTCATTATTGAAATCTAAACAGGCATACCTATTTAATTTTTAAAGAAGAGCGAGAAATATGTAAAGTTAATAATTTAAAGTTTTTTGTACAATAAACAAAAAATTATCATTGTAAAAGCATGAAGATTGAGTCTATGATTTTTTTTACCTTTGCTTTTGTTTTCGCAAACAAAAGTCTTATTCTTGGTACAAGAATCCGGGTAAAATTTTCCATCTGTAAAGTTATAGTAGATGCACACGATTTCATCTATTGGTCTTGGATCCGTTTTTTTTACATCAAGTTTGAATGGTTTACAGTTCAGGTGCAAGCTTTCATTGCTTGATGACCGCATAATTGCTCCAATCCAAACATCAGAATAATTGCTGGAAAATACAGGTACTATTACTCTGTAGATCATTTTATTACACACTTAGTAATAAATACAGGCTTTTTGCATATGGCTGACGTCATAATAGCCGTATCAGCCCCGCAAATCCATATCAGCCCTGCAGGGCTGATACGGCTATTGTAACCTATATCAGCCCCGCAAATCCATATCAGCCCTGCAGGGCTGATACGGCTATTGTGACGTCAATATCACACCCTTAGTAAATTAAACCACAAAAACAGTTCTTGTGATCGTACACAATTTTTGGTGGGTTCATATTCTCTTAATTTTAACTTTTTGAAAATAAGGTTAAAGTTAATTTACAAATACATGTATAGGTTATTTTAAATTACGGATCGAGTGCATTGAAATAGAATTAGAAACAAACCCAAATCGTATGAGACAATAGATCATGTATATTTCTGTAAGAAGTTCATGCATGATTATTTACTTATTTTCTTCTCAACTTAACGTGTTCTGTATTTTATTACTAAGTATGTAATAAATATAATAAAACATACCCTTTTCCACATCACATCCTGTATCAGCCCTCGACCAATATCAGCCCTCGGGCCTTCGGCCCTCTGGCTGATATTGGTGTCTCGGGCTGATACAGGATGTGATATGGAAAAGGGTATGTATTATTCTCTATATATTCTCGCGACGCCTTATTAACTTAAGCTATTTGGTATTTATTAACAAGACAAAATTTTCGCGAGCTGTGGTTTCTGTTGTATATGAACATTAATAATACAAATATACGCAAGAAAATTTTCGCGAGCAGATAGACTCACGTACGTAATTACGCGAAAATAACATGATTTAGAGTATTCTATTCTATACATATATTCACAGTCCCTGTGACATAGCTTTGGTCAACGCATTTGATGTTCTAAGATCACATTTTAAAACAAAATATGACATTTTTGTAAAAATCGAATTCTCAATTCGTGTGTACGGAAAAAAATTAATGAACTGATGGTCGTTTGTGTATCTCGAGTTAAAACTCATCATTACTGATCTATTTACCTAAATTACGGGAATACTCAAATACTTATCAAATGTTTTAAATCATCATTTCGCAAGTTCAGTTGTCGATACAATGTTATTGTGAGCAAAACCAATCTATTGGTCGGTCAAATACTGACTGTCTTCCTCATAATAAATTGTATTTAACATGTATATACTCCGAAATTTCTTCGGATTTTCTCGGTTACCCGATGATGAAACTTAAGGAGCACACGGCGGTTGTGAACGGTCGACAGGGGATGCTTACTCCTCCGTGTCAATTGATCCCACCTGGATGTTTTTGGAGGTCCATCTTTGCACAGTTCCCGAGTTGTATAATGTTTAATTGGGCTTTGAGCGTAAATACATAGAGGATATTCAATGTTTTGTAGTTGAATATGGAATTTATTTTGGGACAGGATTTTTGATATTTACACGAGTGCGAAGCACGCGTGAAAATATCAAAAAATCCTGTCTCACGAGTGAAATAAATTCCATATTCAACTACAAAACATTGAATTTTCTGTTTATTACATTTTTAAAAAAAATTCTTTGATTTTTCCTTTGCCTCTGTCTTTATTAACCCTTTCGACGCCGAATAACGTTACGACTAATACGTCAAGGATGCCGTACTATGACGTCAACTGAGACGTAAAATAGTTGCGTCAGAAAAAAAGCGTCAAATTCCATTGATAATGAAAAAGCACCTGTTTAACCAAGGTAAAAGGATGTAAGGAAAATGCTTACAAAAGAATCATATTTATTCCAATGATTTTAATATCAGTACAATAAAGTAAGCAACCATTAATCCTATAGCCAGCAATTGCAAGGAAAGACTTTAGACAGTACAAAAGAGACCCCAACTCTTTTTTTAAAAAAATCTTTATACTAAATGATTATGTTATTAATTTATAAGTGCCGTATATTAGAAAACAGACCCTTATATAACCTGGTTACTTTCTTAATGCAAATATGCATAACTTAATTTATTTTTAAATATAATAATTTATATCATTTTTCCAGTATTTGATGAGCATTTTAATAATTAAGAATCTTCAAAACAAAGTTGGCGTGGCTCAATGATAATGTAATTTGTCGTTGCGGGTCTCGAACTCAGTACGTTTCTAAACAACCAACATTTTTAAGTAAATCTTTATTGTGTTGATACAATGCCTCCCCCCAAATACCATGAAAAAAGAGAGAAGTCCGAAAATTAGGGCACCGCGGGCCATCCCCTCGCAAAAAAATCGATCCCCATATAATAGAATAAATATAACTTTCATGTTAATGAGCTCATGGTGTATAAAATTGGTTTTTCAGGGTTAAATCATAAATAATAAAATCTTTTCTACTACCACGCGGAGAAACATAAACACCAGGCTCATTTACATAATGAAGTTTTGTTTTGAGACAGTTTATTCCATATTTAAAAATTAAATATCATTAATTAAACATGTATTTATATTTATTGGAGTTTTTTCTCAAGTAAATCAGACTGTATCAAAAGCAGTAATGATAGTAATGCTGCTGAACTGAGGAATAATAGATCGACATTTATGTCATTTTTTTTTGGGGGGGGGGGGTTAACACTTGGACACAACAATCGAACATCATCTCAAAAACGTTATAGAAATTGGTTTCTGTAATATATTAATAGATTCCAAATGTCGGAATGACTTGGCCATTCGCGATCATATTCCCAAATACAAATTCTCACCTGCTTGACAGAAAAATACGTCATGCTTTAGCATATGAGCTCGACTTCTAATTGTAAATTAATTGAAAAATTAAATTGTATCATTACGCATGGTTTGAAATAATGAACTTTCTAAATTCCCGAAATTTATCATAACGCGTCAGATTAATCAATAATATTTCTATTTAACGATTGTCTGGATTCCAACTCAGATTTATGAAAAGTTCTAAAATGAAAAAAAATGTATAGTTTGATCAATGATAGGTGTATTGCAGTCATTTGACGAAATCTACATGTAGTGTACAGTGTAGTGTATAGTGTATTTGATTAAGGAAACACTGTCTAGTTAGTATAATATGCCAGGGCATCAACGATAATTGATGCCCCTGGCGTACTATACTAACTAGACAGTGATTCCTTATATTACCATTTCATTGTGAAATAAAATTGTAGATTTAGATTTTTAAAATGTAGACATGGATTAAAATTACAAGAGGACTCCCATACCAATTTCAAAAGTCCTCGCCTACTGATGTCAAATACAAGGACAGCCGCCCGAGATTTCCATGCATATTTGGCCAACTTAGCTATTGACATGCCTAATTACCATTCCGGTAGAATTATAAAGGAATCAACACCACTAACTTTCAAACAGTTATCACAGAGAAAAAAATAAAAATGGAAATGTAATGGCGTGAGCTTACCTGCATGCAATCGTGGCTTTTCATATTTAGGTAAATTGTGTTGGAATGTACGTATTTATTTACGTCTAAAGCAATAATTAAATAATTCGTATAGCACTAGTGTTAATAATTTTTTTTGTATGAGGCCATGCAGATAGGTATATCGTTTAATACTACGGCTCTAAATGGACTCTCTTCAAAGGCATCTTAACCATTTTGTTAATGCAATGTTACACTATCTCGGAATCTCGAAGCTTTTTATCTTTTGTTTGTTTAGCGTCCACACTAAAGTTAAAAAAAATTTCTATCTGAATAAAAAACACACAAGAAAACATTGATGTAACCATCAATTGTCGCCCGGGAAATAAATAAAGTAAACAATGGAAATGAGTTTTGATCATCAAACTGCTTCGAAAAGTGTGAAAAAGGTAAATGGAGATGATAATCGAGAATATTTTGAAAACTTATAATCGGATGAAAATCGAAAAAAAAAAAAACGATACCCTTTAAGTTTTAAAATTCATCAATTCCTCAAATAAATGTTGGCTGCATAAAATATATATTGAAACCATGCAGGCACATACATCGCCTATATTCAAAATATGTATTTCACTTTAAGAATATAAAACAAACGTACTGTGTAGAGTTCGTTTTTATGCGGCAAGTAAAATTCGGAGTTCTAAAAAAAGGGACCTGTCGTTTTTTGGTCTGTGAATAATAAGCAACTTTATATATTAAACATGAAAAACATATATAACTTTACAGATTCACCTCATGGAAGTAAATATATTATGTTTCTCGTAATTTATAAAGGGGAAGAACATTCTGATTAACAATCTTTTTAACATTTAGAAAATCTTTGTTTCAGAATAACTTCTCCCACCTCAATCCCCATACACCAAGGCTTAAACTTATATGTATAGAGCAGCCCGGTCCTCCGGGCTGCAATAATGAAATGGAAAAGCACAACATGGGGAATTTCTCATCATCGTCTGGGAATATACTTTGTATCAAATATAAACTACTAGTGTAGCGATCTCAAAGTGTAATCTCTATGGCAAAAATTTGTATTTATACATTTTCATAGTGTGTTTGTTTTCAAATATACCTAAAAACTAATTCCGAGTGTGTCCGCTAACGCTAAACATTTTTTTTTTTTTTTTTTTTGCAACGAAATAGAACTTGCAGAAAAGCTTAAGGCTCATAAACCCTCTGCTCACTTATATAAAATGTTGCTTTAATTATAACCTTAATGATTTTCCAAAAAAGTTCATAAAGGAATACATGTGTATGTAATAATAGACATCTATGTCATTAGAGTTATCTCTCTTATCAGAGTATCGATGTACCTTAAAGCTGACATGAACTCTTAAAAAGGCATCAGTTTTCATCTTTGTACGACTTACTACATTCCTGTACGCCCTTGTCCGACATATTTGTTCGATTCCGCCATATTTAATCGAAGATTTTTGGCCACCTGTACCTGCTATATATAGCCTTGACGAATTGTTTCACTTGAGTGATTCTCTAGTCTGGCTGTCGACATGTACACATCTCCGATAGCATAGTTTTTAAAAGTCCATAAACGACCAATACATGTTTGAAAAG